TTTTGGTACAGCTCCAACAGTACTGCCATCTCAATAAATATTTCCCATCATGATCTGATTATCCACATTGCTTCTCCTGAAATTTTGACCTCCTGAGGGACATCCATTCTTAGGAATGATCCTTTGCTGACCTGGTCTAGGGGAAGTACTGAGCTATATTGCTCCAAGGGCCTTCCTCTTGTGAACTCCAAGAAGCACTATTTGGACAAACAAATATCTGGGCAAGGAACCACAGGGCCCATACTGGGACTTGCCCCTTTGGCTCTGATTATTTTAAATTCTTTACTATTAAGTAGTTTATTCAATTAAATACTTGAGTTCCATTCAGTCTCTCTGAGCATATGTAGGTGCAATAGGGTCCAGAGGTTATAGGAAAGTCCCTCCTTTAGAGTTATACTGGGATCATAGAAGTTTTCAATGAAAATTATTGGAATCCCTGAAAAGTAGGCACTGAGCAGAATAAGTATTCGGAAAAGAAGGAAGGAAGAGAAAAAGGCATTCCCAGCTAAGAGGACAAAGGCACAGGAATGCTGCCACTTCTGTGACTACAAGACCTATTAGTGGCTACACCATTAGGTCCTATATGGGCAGCCAGCAGTGGGAATCTCTCCCGTCCCCTATAGCTATTGATTCTTCACCATTAACTCAGCTCTGTTTTTCACAAGTTCCTAATTGTCTGAAGTGAGACATCAGATCCTATTTGCCTCTTGAGTAACTATCAATAGTATCTCAACCTTCAAAACAAAGTGTTTCAGGAAAACTCTGGTTAATCAGGACCTATCAATCTCTGAGTCCCCCATGGCACTTTACTTTTAGGTTAACACTATTTCTCTGCAAGTAAAAAAGCAGACATATAACTACTGACAAATTGTGGTGTCTAGTGATTTAAGTTCCTGGAGAGTGAATTCTAAAGCCATGTGAGAACCAGGTTTGAATCCCAGCACCATCATAGGGAGGATAGGCAAGCAATTGAATTTTTCTGCCTTGATTTCTAAAATAGAAGTAAAAATAGTATGTAACTCATGTAGTATCTAACTCGTGTGTTGTGACAATTCAGTGAGCTACTGTGTGCAGTAATGCTTAATAAATGTTAAGTTACTTTTTGCATACTGTGTAGGAAATCTTCCTTTATCCCTTCCATGTCTTAGATGTCTCTATTTTCTCCCTAACACTGTTTTTTTTTTTTTTTTTGTACTGGGTATTGAACTCAGTGGCACTCTACCACTTAGCCACATCCCTAGCCCTATTTTGTATTTTATTTAGACACAGGGTTTCACTGAGTTGCTTAGTGCCTCACTTTTGCTGAGGCTGTCTTTGAACTCGAGATCCTTCTACCTCAGCCTCCTTAGCCACTGGGATTACATGCATATGCCACTACATGCAGCTTCTCCCTAACACTTTGAGGAAATTTTATCATAGCAATTAACTCAATGTTGATATTATTTATTTATCATTCTCTCCTACTATGCTCAAAGATTGTTTATTCATATACATTATAATAATGACCAGGAGAGACACAGTATATAATCTAAGTAATTAAAAACAAGTACTCAAGAAAAAAGAAATACAAGCACATGCATGTTCACAGATGTACACTAATCACAATAGCCAAGAAGTGGAAATAGCCCTAATGTCCATCCACAAATAAATGGATAAACAAATTGTGCTACACACATGCAAAGGAGTTTATTCAGCCATAAAAAGAAATAAAGTACTTATCCATGCTACAACATACATTAACCTCAAAATCATGCTTAGCTGGGCATGATGGTGCACACCTATGATCCCAGCAACTTGAGAAGCTGAGGCAGGAGGATTGCAAGTTCAAGGCCATCCTTCTTAATTTAACAAGACCCTGTCTCAAAAGAAAAAAGTGGGGGCTGGGGTTGTAGCTCAGTGGTAGAGTGATTCCTTAGCATGTGTCAGCACCACATAAAGGTAAATAAATAAAATAAAGTTATTATGTCCATCTACAACTAAAAAAATATTTTAAAAAAGAAAAAAGAACTGTGGGTATAACTCAGTATAGAGCTCCCCTGAGTTCAATCCCCAATACTAAAAAAAAAAAAAAAAAAAATAAAAAAAAAACCAAAAAAACAAAAACTAAAAAAAAAAAAAAAAAAAAAGAAGCCATTATGTTTAGTAAAGGAAGACAGACACAAAAGCCAATACTATTATTCCAATTATATGAAATATCCAGAACAGGTAAATCACAGAGATAGAATGCAGATTAGTGGGTACCAAGGATTGGGAAGAAGGGAGGAATGGGTAATGCTTAATGCTTAATTTTCATTCATACTGTTGTGCCACCACCACCTCTATTTAGTTCTGAACAGCTGGGTTGATAACAGCTGTTTCAGAACTAAATAGAAGTGGTGGTGGCACACAGTGTGAATGTAATAAATATCACTGAATTGTTCACTTTTAAATTTTTTCCATATTTTTATTGATGCACTGTAATTATACATAATAATGGAATTTGTTGTTACATACTCATACATGCACATTGAGTTTTTCACTTTTATATAGTTAATTTTATGTTATGTGAATCCTGCCTTCATAGAGTTTATATTTTAGTGAGGGAGGCAGATCAGAAGGTAAGCCAGTATACACATAAATACTTACATGTGATAATCACTTGGTGGGAAGTAAAAAAACAGCAGAAAAGTTAAGGAAGAGCAGGGGATGGTGGTTTGAGAAATTGTAAATATACCATCTGGGCTGTTTCCAGAGCCAAAGGCAGTGATTTAAAATGAGCCTACAGGGCTGGGGATGTGGCTCAAGCTTGCATGGCATGCATGGGGTGCTGGTTTTGATCCTCAGCACCACATAAAATACCAACAAAGATGTTGTGTCTGCCGAGAGATAAAAAATAAATATTAAAAATTCTCTCTTCCTCTCTCTCTCTCCTCTCTCACTCTCTCTTAAAAAAAAAAATAAAAAATAAAATGAGCCTACAGAGAGGTAAGCAAGAGTCAAGGACTGCAGAGCTTTATATATTCAATTTAAGAGCAATAGGGAGCTGGGAGGGTTTTAAGCAAACAATTAACAGGGCCTGGATTATATTTAACTGTTTTATCTATTTTTAGAAATACTTTATTTTATTCATTTATTTTTATGTGGTGCTGAGTATTGAACTCAGTGCCTCACACGTGCTAGGCAAATGCCCTACCACTGAGCCACCACTGAAGTCCCTGTTTTATCTTTTCTTAATTGCATGCATTAGTTTGCCTCTTTTCCAGTGTGGTGGTTGTCTACAAAGGGGACTGTATCAGAATTACTGGGTTGGCTTATTTTTATAATGCAACAATGGAAGCCATTGGATTGGTGGGAAGGTTGGCAGGGATCATTTGCAATAGCTCCCCAGAGGATTCTGATTCCCTACTGTCCCTAGCACTTTCTCCTAAACTACTATTGTTCTAGAAGCTTGAAAGAGTGGAAATAGACATTAATTATCCATCTTAAGGGTTGGGGAAGGGCCATGGTTCAATGACTGAAACAATTTCAGTGGCCTGTTCCCAGAATGACAGGTAACCAACTCAGGGAAAAACAGGAGAGGGATCTCTGAGAAGTCAAGAGGCAGAAACACAGTCACAGCAGAATTTATCACTGTAACAACGATAAAAAGAGGTACAGGTGAGAACTAATTTCTAAAAAGGGCTGGAAGACTGCTATAAACAGTATCTGGAGTGCTATGGTGCAGGAAAGGAAGGAAGCAATCAATCACTTGGCTGGAGATGAAAAAGCAAATATTTTCATAGGGAAAAAAATATCTATAGTGGCTACCCTACCCCAAAGTGTAGTTGACTCAGAGCACCCCTTGGAAGGTTGATTAGAAATGCAGAATCTTGGGTCCTGCTCCCACCTGCTGAATCATAAACTTCATTTAAAAAATTTTTTTTTGTGATGCTGGGGATTGAACTCAGGGACTTGTGCACTGATGCAAGCACTCTACCAATTGAGCTATATTCCTGCGGGCCCACCTACTGTTTTTAACAAGGAGCCTTAGGTATTTGTATTTTATAATGTTCATTAAAGTATAAGAAGCACTGATCTGTATTGGGGAAGGAAACTCCACACCACCACAGGGTTGGTCCCTAGCACAGCCGCAGCACTTCATGTTATACACCTCCTGAAAACAGGCCAGTGGTTTCGGAAAAAGTACCTAATTTTTGAAAACGTGGTGTTATAAATACTGGAGAAAGAACTTAAAGAAAAACTACTGGGAGGTATATTTTTATGCAAATTTCCTTCGACTAGAAATATTTCCTGTGAAGTAAAGTACCAGGCTTCCTTGAAGAAAGACAAATGTGCGATAAGACCGAGGCGGCCGGCCAAGTCAACCGTTCACACAGCTGGATCAAATCTGGAGCCGCTCATGTCCCCTGGCAGCTCTGAGCAACCAGGATGAGCTTTTTTAAAAGAGCCCAGGTGGTGGCTCTTCTGCCCCAGAGAACAGTTCTAAAAGCTCTTTAACGCTGAAAATGAAGAACGACTGACTTCAGCGAGATCCTGTCTTAAAAAACAAAAAGGGCTGGGGCTGTAGCTGAGTGGTAGAGCGCCCCTGGGTTTAATCCCTAGTGCCCCCCACCAAAAAAAAAAATAAAGAAAGAAAAGAAAGAAAGAAAAATAAGAAACACTTGACAAAAGTACTTTCAGAAAGTACGGCTGAGCATCTTGGGAAGGCACCTACAACCAGCAGAATGCCGTAGCAGCAGAGGCCCCAGCTGACCTTCGACCTCTGACTCCGCCCCTGGCTTGGCGCTTCCATGCGCAATTTCCGCTCCCGCCTCTCCAGCAAGGGGCAGGCCCAAGGAATGTGGGCGGGGCTCTGACGCCGGCGGTTAGGCGCGGTGTCTGTTAGGGGCGGGTCTCGCGAGGGGCGGGACTTGAAGAGGCATTCTCCATTGGGCTGCTAAGTAGAGGCGGGGCATAGCCCTCGCCCGAGTTGGGCGGGGCTTGGAGTGAGTGACCGCCTCTGGTAACTAGACTCAACCGATCAAACCTGCCAAGGCCCGCGGCGGTAGGCGGGCCCGCAGGAGATCCCGGATCCGGATCTATCGTGCAGGAGCGGAATCAGGGTCGGCTCTGACCCAAAGCGGGTCTGTGAGGAACTCGCGAACTTGGATTAGGAAATCCCGGAACCCGGATCGGTAAACCTCGGAACCCGGAATTAAGATTGGAAAGTCCCGGATCGCGGAGCACAGCGCGCGGAGCGGACTCGACGCGGAACCCGGAGGCCGGATCCGAGCACCGCGGGACGGGACGGAGCTATGTCGGGCCGTGGCGCGGGCGGGTTCCCGCTGCCCCCTCTGAGTCCCGGCGGCGGCGCCGTGGCTGCGGCCCTGGGAGCGCCGCCTCCCCCAGCGGGGGCCGGGGTGCGTCCCGGCCCGGCGTTTTGGGGCTCGGGGCCCGCTGGAGGCGTGGGGGGACCCGGGACCGCCGCCTTCCGCCCTATGGGCCCCGCGGGCCCCGCTGCTCAGTACCAGGTGAGGCGGGCCGGCGGGCGGTCGGCGCCGCGAGGGCGCCAGGTTATATTGCCTGGGGTCCTTGAGTGAGGTCTCTGGAGGAGTCTGTGGATGGAAGGCGCAGGGGCCTTGTAGGAGGAATTCTCAGGAGCCAGTGAAGGGCCAGGTTGGGGACTCGGATTGCGTCTAAGGAATGGTGGCAGAGTTAAAGAAAAGGGTGAGAGGAACCCTACGGTGGTGGAAGGTTTGATGCAGTTGGAGGAATCTCTTGGCTTCCTGGCACAGGGATTCTGCAATGAGAGATGGAGGCGTTCTGGGAGCCAGGGAATTGTGGGCGCTTGCGTTGAGAAGTCTAGTGCAGGTTCTGGGTTGGGAAGTCCTGAGAGTTGATGAAGTTTTGGAAAAGGGTCCTTACTGAGAATCCAGGGTTACCCAGCATTGGCCTCGGTCCCACTCTAGGTCTGCCCTGTTTTTTATAGTTGAGAACTGGCAGAGCCCTAGCCTGTCTTGAGATGGCTCCCAGCTGCTAGCTAGTAAGGAGGAAGGAGGCTTCCCACAGCGTGGGAGGCAGAAGGGCTCTGGGACTCTAGCCTGTGCAGGAGCAGGCTGGACTCCCTGGTCAGGTCCAGGCTCTGGCCAGGATTACTCTGGGTTAGACCAGAGACAGTGATGGCCAGGCCTGAGGAAGACCCAGCCCAGTAACAGCATTCTGGGCAGACTCTTCTGGGCTTCCTGCCTGGTGTCATTGTCCAGGAGTTGATGAGTCTTGAGGAGCTGAATGGCTCCATGGAGTCTTGCTGTTCTGGGCTGGAGGAGCTTGCAGCTGCAGGAGTTGCTTTCAGAGGGTACTGTCCTGATCCCTCGAAGACAGCATCTCAAGTTGCAGCTTCAAAGGCCATTAAGAGGCAGAGAGTTAATCTTGTGGTCAGCCTGACCCTGTTATGGGACTGGCCAGTTCCCCAGTTTCATGTTGTCCCAGAATGCTTGGGAATTGTGTCCATCCTTTTTTCTACCTCACTCCGCTTTTATTTAGTTTCCAAGTTCTGACAATGCCATATCCTAACCCATGTTGTGCTAATGTCTGAAGGTGTGCATTGTGGCTTCCTTTGTTATCTCCTGGTGTTCTCAGGTAGAGGTCCCAGAAGTGGATCCTCAAGGGATACACATAATCTGCTAAGGCCCCTGAGCCCTCACTTTCAAAAGAGATGCTTATTTAACTGGGGATAGTGATTTTTCCCTTACTCTTCATTCTCCTTTCTTTTTCGAAAGAAAACAATGGGTTTGAGTATGAACAGAGACAAACGTGGTTCCAAGGACTGCAAATGCTGTCCATCTTTCCCATCTTGTTCTCCGCCATGGTGATTCATGGTTCCAGGGTGTTGCTGAGTGTCCCTGCATCTGTCATTCTAGTCATTGGGCCTATTAGCTAAGACCTGGCCTGGGAGCTTCTTGTGGGCTTTTGGCCTTGGAACAGACAAAAGCCTCTTCAGTTTCCTTGGCATGGAACCCATAGGAAATGTGCCCTTGGGAAAGCCCCTGTAAGGATGGATTCCATAGTGTTTCTGGGGAATGGCCTTGGGTCTTGTGACAATCCCAGGGTAGCTGGCTGGATAGCTCTCGGCTGCTAGGTATAGGGCAGGAGATAGCTCTGAGCCTGGACTTCCCATCCCACAAGTTTCCCATCATCATCTCCCCATCCTACTCCTCAGAGGGGTAGAAGAGATAGATGGGAAGAACCACCCAGCTAACTTTGGTTAAGTTTAAGGGGAATCTTGTTGCTTTCTTTCTAAGTCCAGTTGTATGACTTCCAAGAGAAGGACTTGAGGTCTGGGGAACAAAGGAGTTCCTGTCTGTTAAGTCTTTGTGGAGTAAGCAGAAGAACAAGGATTTGGGAAAACAGGTAAACCTGTTGAAAGAAGGGATGTGACAGTCCATCTCCCTCCAGAGAGTGGTTCTAGCTTTGGATCACAATCAACTGAAAAGCTAAAACAAACAAACAAAAAACCCAAATGAAAAAAAAAAAAA